GACAGTAGTTAACATCTGTGCCTCAATAGTGTTGCCCTGTTGTGTAGTTGAGTCTCTGCAGTGCAAAGATACAAACCTGCTGTTTGGTTATAGGTGTTTCAACTCTGTGATGTTTTGTACATGCCCTTGTGACACTTGGAGAATACTAAAGGTTGTGTTATGAAGTTGAGACCTGCCTGTTCCTAGAGCTCTGACAGAAAAAGATGGTCTTCCACTGACATCTCCAGTGCATCTTCCATATCTTGTTTTCCACTCCAACCTTCAGGTTCAGAGGATGGGAAGATCCATGTTTGGAATGGAGAAAGTGGGATGAAGGTGGCTGTCCTAGATGGAAAACACACAGGTCCTATAACCTGTCTGCAGTTCAATCCAAAATTCATGACTTTCGCTAGTGCATGTTCCAATATGGTAAGGAAATGGGCTTTAAGTTCCTCTGAGCTCCATGAGGTGCTGACCCTTCCAGAGATTAATCTGACAAGTCTCAGTGCTTCTCATGTGTGCGTGCAGGAGGTGGCAGCTCCTGCAGGGTGCTGTAGGAGGGATTTGTGTTCTGCTATGAAAAGATGTTTTCTTTCCTCTCCAGGCCTTCTGGTTGCCAACTATCGACGACTAATTCCTACACTGCAGCTGCTGTTGGATGGCCCCATCCTGCTAACAGCAGCACAAGCAAGTTTGCAAGCATAGTTTTGGAATTGCCTACATCTCCTAGACTGTGTTCCTGTTCCTGCGTATTTTCCATGTCTTACCTTTATCTACAGCATTCCGTGGTGAGGACTGCTCCTCTTGGCCTCCTGGCACGCTCAAGAAGCAGTATGCTACAAGCTCTTACCTGCCAGTCCATGCCCAGCAGGCTTTAGCCTAAGATGGAACTGACACAGTGTTATTTCTTAGAGCTGTGAAGTCTGTTTTATCTACAAAATGTTTGTGGCATTTTTTAAAGCTGTAATTATGTGTTTTCCTGCTGTAAATGCACAAGGCTGTTGATGTTCCAATGTGGAGCGTGCAGTTGCTTTCCATAAGTGCATGTTTTTAACGTCTGGGATCTCTGGTTTCACTGCAGTCCACAGATGCAAATACTTCTGTGCCAAATGTGAACACTGACAGTTTTCAACGGCAGATGCTGGATTCTCTTGCAGTGGAACATGCACCAGAAGTGTGGCTAGCTGTGAATGTACCTCATACATCTTGTCATCCTTTTTTTTGGCAATCTAGTGTGCAACTGCACAGGTTTCATCCACTGTCAGAGATTGCCCTGCTGTTGCTGTCAACATCCTGGAGGTGCAGACAGCACTGCTGAGGTCCAGCCAGTGTCCCGAGCAATAAAGGAGTCTGTCAGCAGAAGATGGAGAAACCACACTGAAACTGAAAGCACAGTCTGCCTGTGTATCTTCCTTATGTACCATCTTGGCTGATCTTACTTGTAAATATCATGGGGTGGGTGGGCAGTGGGAATGGGCCATATTTTTTTACTTTTAGATATAAAAGAATGTGATGTGGGCCAGTAATGTGAGGTGTCTAGGCTGTTTACTTGCACCGATGCAGTTTTCCACCCCCTGATCTGTAAATAAGCTCCATGAAATTCATCCCACAGCAGGCATAGACTGGTATCACTTTGTTGGTAAAACTAACATGTATAGTCCATCATACAGTTTGGCACTGGTCTGCAGGTTTTTGGTGATAGGATGCATTGCTCTTTTGAAGCTTTGTCAGATGATGTCTTCAGAAATGAATTTTAAAAATCTTAGGCATGACTGCTGACTCTGCTTTGCTGTGGCCCTGCTCCAAGGAATGCCCCTGCAAAGAGATGGGGAGGGACGTGCTCTCCTGCCTCAGGGGCTTGTAGCACTGAAAAGCTGGCTGGTTGGTCTTCAATCCCAGTTTCAGGTTTTTTTCCTGAAATGCTACTTCAATGGAATGCATTCACCAGCAAGCTGGGACAGGCCTGGCAAAAATGTAGTGTTCACTGTATTCTTGCCTTTCCAAACACACTTGGGGTTGTGCTTGGGAAGTCTGTTCTTTTCCCTTGCCCAGACAAATGTGCTTCCTTGCTCATACATACGAAAAGCTGGCAAGGTGACAAGACAGTAACAGGCATGTTCTCTCTGCTCTCCAGGGCCACTACATGCTGGCAAACCACGCTGGAGCATTTTCCTTAGGTCAGTTTCCTGATGTTCCCCTTACAGCAAAGTTCATCTCAGCTGTATACAGTTCACATTATGATTCCCTGGAAAAGTAAATGCCTTGTACAACAGCTGTTTCTGTTTTGCTTTTTCTTGCCTTTTTTTTGGTCCCCTCCCAGTCCTTGTCCATGGAAAGGTGCTGTGCTAAGAGCTGGGGACGGGCACTGAGCATTTCTGCACTGCTAGTTCTGGTCAGGTTGCAGCACTGAGCATTTCAGCACTGCTGGTTCCATTCAGGTTGCAGCACTCCTGTGGCAGTGCAGCAGCACTGCCCACACGGGGCAGGCTCACACCGTGGTGCTCGATCTGTGCTGTGGTTGTGGCTCTGCTGCTGCTGCCACACGGGGCATTTCTAACCACAGGTCTGCAGTGTGAGTTTGCCACTCTCCAGCAGGGTGATGGATGCTTTCCCTCTGCCACACGGGTGTGCTGCTGGAGATGCAGATGAGAGGTTCATGCCCCCCCTCTTCTGTGCTGTCCCACCATTGCCTATAAATAAAACTGCCCCGTGCAAAGGGAGGGGGTTTTCTCGGGCCTCAGTCACTTTAACTCAGCAGTGTTGCATTTCAGCCTGTTTGGTGCTATTTTACCTTTGTTGGTATTTGCAGTGCTTTGTAAAATACAGATATTTGGGGTTTGTAGTGTGTTTTAACAGTCAAACTTCAGCGTCCAGTTGTAAATTATCTTTGAGGTTTTTCGAGTCTTTTGCCTGAGGAAGTGAACAGATAGCCTCCGGCCATATTCCTTGTTACTTGACAGGGAAGCATTTGGAAGTCTTTTATTCTATAAAAGCTCTCTGTTAATGTGGTTTTGAGTGCTTGTCTAGAGGTTGTTGTTCAGCTCTCTTCTGCTTGCAGTGTTGTAAAACATGGTGTGTTGTGGCATGGAATGTTGAAGGAAAAGGGAACCAGAGGAGTGGTTTAGGAGGACACACACACAAGCACATCAGTGGTTTTCTCAAGTGAAGAGGGATGTTCAGGCTCATGCACTAGTTCTCCGTTCAGGGTGCCTTCCCAGGGCCCACTGCCACCCACAGAGGCAGGGACATCTCTGTTGATGTAGCCTGGAGTGCTTTCCATCTGGCTTTAAAAGAGGGGAATGTGCCAAGTGTTGTCAGGGAACATGAGGATTATGTGGTTCAGATAGTTGGACAGGAAGGGTGAATATAAAGCTTTTAGCTTTCAGCTTCTACGTGCTTCTCTAGGAGTCCCAGGGCTGCAGTTCCTGTGTTCTTTAGGGCTGCCAGCTAATTAGAAACAGATCTCATGAAAAACAGCCTTCCCAGGTCTGACAGAGGGGCCAAGCAGGAAACTGCATTCCCCCTCCAAATCTGACATGTAAATCATCCCCATGTTCTTTGGGATGAAGACAAGACCTTTCTTCAGAACAAGGGGGAGATGAGACTCAAGAGCCCACCTCTAAGTAAGCAGTGTGGTGGCTGAGCCCATCTGCCTGGGCTGTAGGAGATTCCAGGTGCAATTCTCCAAGTCAGTCTTGAAAGATTTTTATTACTTTATTGAAGCTCCCAGGTCCTGGATTTGTGCCCCAGTCCCTTTGTGCTTTGGAGTGTGCAGGAGTAATTGAGTGACAAATTTGGAACAGCAGGGTATCTTTTTCCAATGCCTCTTGGCTATTTTAGCACTTTAAGAGACTTCACCTTGGTTTTGGGTCAGGGGCAGGAACCTGGTGAGCCTTTCAGAAACTGGTCTCTGTGGTCGTGAGCTGCTGTAGGGAGTTGGACTCCTCGGTGGCATCTGCCAGTGAGTGTAAATACGTAAAGTCAAATTATGCTTTGTCACAAAATACTACCTATGTGGAGAATTCAATGTTGTGGCTGTGACCAATAAATATTTTGTAGAGAGACCACTTGAGTGCTGTAAATTCTGCGTTTGTCCAGTGTGATACAACTTGCTGGTTTCTTAGAGGGGGAATGTTAAACTCATCCATTTTTTAAAATCTCCCTTTGTTTTGGAGAGTCAGAAATTCTGTAGTGGAAATTGTGGTTCTTTGAAGTTACCCCTCCATAAATTGCCCATTTTAAGAGGGGTTTTTTTGGCCTATGAATGTATCAGGATAGGGAAGCCTTGTGACAGCTACTTATGGAGCTGTGGTGCCCTAGGTAAAGAGGTATTCACAGCAGCCTGTGGTCTGGATGGAAAAGCTGAGCTCTTAGCAAGGTGGGAAAATAACTTCCTGAATTTGAGTAACAGGAATCTTGGGTCATTACAGTGAATGCATATAAATGTGTTACAGCTGCTGAAGGGAGGACAGCAGCCAGCATCATTACCATGGGTTAATCCTCATGTGCATTGTTTTCAGGTCAAACTTAAGAGGATGGAGGGAAAGTGAAGCTGGAGAGAAATGGTTTGTATTCTACCCCTTGATTAAACTATGAGCAGATATCTGAGAAGGCTGCCCCATTCCTGGGGGGAATTTCCTCCCACTGCTGGAAATAATCTTTCAACATGAAGCCCTTGGCAGCAGCTCTGGTAAGGGGATGCTTCTGGTGACAAGCAAAGACAAATTAAAAGCAAGAATTCCCCAGTGGTTTTCTGAGGCTGTCTTCCTCCAGCCCAGATCTATGTAAAACCCCAACAGGAATAACACCACAGTAAGATGCATGGGGAAAAAAAAACAACAACAAAGTACTTTTATTTGGACTTTAATCCTTGTGGAATTTAAATGCGCACTGGGGTTTGGCTGCTTCTTTGGGGAATCCTGGAACCTGGGCTGTCTTCCTCCAGCCCAGATCTATGTAAAACCCCAACAGGAATAACACCACAGTAAGATGCATGGGGGGAAAAAAAAAAAAAAAAAACAAAAAACAAAGTACTTTTATTTGGACTTTAGTCCTTGTGGAATTTAAATGCACACTGGGGTTTGGCTGGTTCTCTGGGGAATCCTGGAACCTTTGTAATAATGAAAACCAAAGTGGGGACTTGGGGAGATGGGAAGCTTGTCCAGACCTGAATTTGCCTGGCTAATAAACAGGTTGGGAAGCAGATCCTCAGAGTTTAAGGCAACTCTGGCATGTCTGCTGCACTGTGTTTCTGCTGGAATAAGTGCTTGAAATTCAGCACTGCAGACAAATTGCAACAAACCGGTTTTATTTTACTTGGAGCTCTTCTACTGAATCAGCTGATGCACTGAACACCTTGGTTCTCAGTGCTGCTGCTACAAAACCTGCTTTGCTACCAGAAATTACCTGAACAGAGAAAGTGTCAGCAAGTATGGATCAAGATTTGTTAGAAATCTGTACAGTGTTACAAACACACTTCAGTGTTCTTAAATAAGAGTAAGGCACATATCTTTGCACAGGAGGCTTCTGTACACCAGGGTGAAGCTTTACCTGGCTACATCCTCTGGGTCTGAGGTGCTGCCTACAAATGGCAGCTGTCTGAAGAGCTCTGGGCTACTGCTCCAGCATTCCCATGGCCCAGGCACGGCTGTGCCCAGTGCTGTCCTGGCAGCAGCTCCCAGGTTTTCAGCACATCTCACCTTACAGCAAATGGATACGAGACATGCTTTAGCTTATGCATCCAGTTCAGCTTAGTTCCAGTCTGATTAAAAGCCAGCTCTTCAGACTGGCTGGATCTCAGTTGATCCTTATTGTTCAATATTAAAAAGGGAGAGGGATCAGTAGAAATCTGGATTTCAGTGTCACTGTACCACGAAGATCTTAGGAAAAGTGCCCTTTGGTTCACATGGCCCCCTTTGCAGGTTCTCCTTGGTCCAGCAATGAGAAAGGGGAGTGATTTGTTGCCCACTGTGCTTCTCTTGCATGTTGTTAAGGAGCTAATCTTGTTCATCCTGTGCCAAGTGCTGGCTGTGCAATTCAGGTTCCACTGCAAATGGTTTTGCTGGAAGAGAGTGTACACCGTGTGCAGCAGAAGTCCCTCAGTCTCAGGCTGATGCAGAATGGCATCACAGTAAGGGAGCACAGATGCTGTGTGTCATCCTGACAGTCAGTCCTCCTCCCTGTTGTGTAGTGGGATGACAAATACAGAGATGTCATCGTAGGATGCCTCGTGGCTGTCATCCAGCATCCACTGGTGGCCTCTCTTCTTTCCCCTTGCCCTGCATACCAAGCACTTGGCCAGTTCTGAAAACCTGTGGGTAGAAAAATGCAAGGGCTAATATAGCAACTATTCTCCTTACGTACAACGTTGACATGTGGCTTTATGTTGTCAAAATAACAAGGTTTTTTAAGACATCAGTTTTGTAATTGTTACTTTAGGATGGGAACAGATTAGTAGGCACTTTCCAAAGCCACAGAAAAGAGTGGTCGTGCCAGAGCAGATCTGGAAGCAGTGGGATCTCAGCCTGCTTTAGGTCTGACCAGGTTCTTTGGAAGGGAAAACAAAGACAAATTACCTTTGAGGATCTGTCCTGTTTTCTGCAAGGAAGCTCCTGACTACATGGGCCACCTCCTCATTGCACAGAACATCCCAAAGGCCATCAGTTGCCATGATGAGGACATCGTCTTCCTTAATGTCATGAAGAGCAAAGTCAAATACATTCACCTGGAAGGCAGAGGAGTAAATCTGTGACAATTCCTGCAATGTAACAGAGGGGTCAGGGAGATGAGACTTCCCCTGAGAAATGACACACTGGGACCAGGGTGCTTGGAGAAATACTAAGATCTGCCAAGTCTTTAAAAGGTGCATCCTTCAGAGAAGCAGCTTGTTTAATTCCACTCTACAATTCCCACATGCTGTGACTGACCTTAGGAATGCAGGAGAGGAAAGGTTTGACTTCAATGTTGGTGTCAATGACCTTGAGCTGATGATCCCCCAGGCCTCGAGAGACAGCCAGAGTGCCCAGCAGGCGAGCCTGGCCCCAAACAAAACAAAACAGGATTGAAACATTGGGGTGTGGGGCCTTTCAGGGCTGATGTGTGGCTTGTCCTGACTGATCTATGTGTTGTTCTAGGACCTTTCTCCAAGCATCACCCAGAAGAGCCTCTGGAGACTTTGGAGATGGAGGAATGATCAGAAGCCTGATGGGAGCATGGAAGCAGTCTGACTGTGGAATGGCTCCATGAGGCCCATGATGTGCTCTGGAGTCAGTACATATGTTCTGGGTAATGCTGCAGACCTCAGGAGGCCCATGGTGGCATCTGTTCTTGGTTTGAGGTGGCAAGAAAGACAGTTGGGTTGGTTTGGGAGTGTCTGTTTGTCCTGACAAAGGAGGTTCTGCACTGACTCAGTAAAGGGGTTGCACATGGGTTGTAGTGCTGGAGAGGTGATGGGACTTTCTGCTCACCCCCAGCAGGCAGATGCTGCATGGGTGCAATCATTGCTTCTCCCTACTTCCTCCTTCCCTCTCCAAGCTCATTCTCAGCCTTTCCTCGAGGGGGACAGTTTGTGGGAAAGGCACTAGAGCTAAAGGAGACAGTCCCAAGTGGGAGCTGGTCAAGTTCTCATCTGAACTGAGTTTTTGTGTGCAAGCCCTCAGGGCTGCTGTCTGCTCTGCTGTACTCTGGAGGAGGCAGCTCCAGAGGGCTCTGGGTTACACAGCCAGGCAGCAAAGGAAGCTGCTGTATCCAGGCTGTGGGACTGTGCTGTGCTGGAGAACACCAGAGCTCCAGGTCTGCTCTAGTGCCCCACAGTGTGACATGAGTGACAGGGACACTGAGGACTCCCAGAAGATTTGCCTGTGCCTTCCCAATGTGTAAAGCTTTAAGCTACCTGCTTCCCGTGACCATGGACAAGAGGATACTTGAGGTCAGCTTTCTCCACCGTCTTGTAGCCCCTGGAACAGAGAATTCACTGTTGATTTGGGATTTGTCTGACTTGATAGTACAACCCAGCCAGAGCATTTTGACTCTGACTGACCCTTGTGGTGTCCCCATGCACAGGCAGCTCACTGAGGATGGGGCAAGGTGATCCTCACTCTCCCCTTCCTCCCCAGCTTGTACCTGCAGCAGCCCCGTGCCCATGGATGCCAGAAGGACCATCCTGACTGTTTTCCAACCACCCTGGCAGGGCCATGGTCCTTTGGAGGGAGCTGCTCACAGCATCCTTCCCTACCACCGTGGTGCTGCTCTCACCAGCAGGATGTGCACCCTCTCCCTTCACTTCCCCATGGGTGTGAGCAGGAAAAGCTGCCCTGTGCTGCAGCCTTGGCCTCGGGCAGAAGGGACTCACCAGCCCTCCATGAAGTAATCCCGGTACAGGACTTTGTGGCCCACATCATCTCCCTTCAGCCTCCGTGGAAACTCAAAGCGGGTGAATTCACCATCCAGGAGCTTGGGGAAAAGGAAAGCCTGGAGGAGGGAATGGAGGGTGAGCATGGATAGGTTCTGCTTCTGCCTCAGGACTGGCACTCCCAGCAGCAGAATGGAGACCAGAACTGGGAAAGCACGTTCCAACGAGGACATGAACATCTCCCATACTAAAGACTGTTGGCTGAATTTCTACCCCAGCCCTCCCTGGCTAGTTCCAGCTGACATTACGGCCACACATTCCTTCAAGGAATGCTGGAGGTCCTCTTGCCACAGGCCCTCTCTGGCCCAGTGGGATGCTTGCAGCTGGATTGTCTGATGTGTGGAAGGAGTCACTCACCAAGTGCTGGATTCGCTGCCTCTCTGACTCGGGGGTGAACTCACTGCTCATGGGCACAATGCTGTCCTTCAGGACAAGAATTGCCCTACAAGGGGGAAGAGGCAAAGCTCAGCTGTGCCACAGAATAGCTGTGCACCCAAAACTGTTAAAAAATGCCACTGTATTTCAAATAACTCCATTGTAATTGCACTGTAATTGCAGCAGAGAACTGTGCTTGCCTGGTTTGACAGTGGTCGAGCTCACTGTTAGAGGAACAGGGGGGCCACAGCCCAGTGAGGGAAATCACCTTTCACTCTGAAACACCTGCCAGGCTGAGTGTGCTGCTGCTTTACCACCCCAAGGCTGTGTCTGGGCAGCTTTAGTCCTTGAAATCCCCAAACTGTTCCAGAAGGCATGAGAGCACCTTTCTTCTAACAGGTCTCATGCCAAACAGGAGGGGGATGGCTGGGCTGCACATTTACTGTCTGTAGGATTGAATCAGAGCTGTGGTTTAACCTGGCAGCTAAACACCACACAGCCACTCACTCACTCCCCCACACCCAGTGGGATGGGGCAGATAATGGAAAAAGGAAAGTAACATCTGTCAGTTGAGAGAAAGGAAGTTTATTAGGACAGGAACAGAGGGAAAGTCATAATGAGAAAAAGAATTAGAATATAGCAAACAACTGATGCACAGTTGCTCACCACCTGCTGACTGATGCCAAGCCACTCCCCCAGCAGTGGCCCCAGGCCACCTTTCCCCTCAGTTCACACACCGAGCACGGTGCCATGAGGTCTGGAGCATCCGGGTCACTTAGGGTCAGCTGTGCTAGCTGTGTCCCCTCCCAGCCTCTTGTGCCCCCAAACCTCCTTGCTGGTGGGTGAAAAGCTGAGAAGTCCCTGACTGAGCAGCTGCTGATCAGTGCTTGCACAACTCAGACTTCAGTGGTTTTCAGCAGTGTTCTCTAGAACTCTGTCTCAGCTGAAACCAGGACAGTGAGATGCTGGAAACCTTGCTTAACTCCCAGCTCTCATCCCCAGCAACTTCCCCCTTTTGTTATGACTCACCTGCTGTCCCCAGCATTGGCCACATAGAGCTTTCCCTGGAAATAAAGGGCAGCCAGAGCAGTGCAACCTCCTGTCTGGTTCGTAGCTTCCATCTCCTGGCCAATGACTTCATCCTGTTGGTTTCAACAAGTTTGGAGACTGGCGTGATCTGGGCTGCTGCTTTCTACACACTGTCTCATCCCTCCCAGCAGAAATCCAGAACCAAAACTGACTGTGGATGAGCCACAGGAAACCAGAAGAGTAACAGGCAAAGTTGCTTCTGTACAGCCTACACAGCTGCTGCTCCTGGGCTGTGGATGCTTTTGGAGGGTGATGGGGAGAGCTCAGACTTGTACATGCTGTGTGAGTGTGACAACAGCCCCCTGCCTGCCCTACAGAATTGTTCAGAGCTACTGCAGCTTTGCTCTGGGTCAGCACTGCCAACAAACAATCTGACACAGGCCTTGGGGTCTGACCCAGCCTGATCTCAGCATGTTTAAAGGTTTGGCCCAATGTCCCAGCCTAGTCAGTGAGCAGCAGAATTGCAGACACTTCCAGGGCTCAGGAGGGACACAGTGGCTGCCTGGGCCAGCAGGACTGGTGCCCTGCACGGGGTACTCACACATTCCTGGAAGGCATTCTCCAGGGCTCCCACCACCAAGTCTGCTGCGTGGATGTGCTTCTCCTCCACGAACTGGGGGTCACTGTCACAAACACAGCGTCCGCTGAGGTGCAGGGGGGGCTGGGCCTCGGTGATGCCTCCCACAATCTCCTCCAGCTTCTGCTTGATGCAGTAGTGCAGATAGTTGGAGGCGATGATGGCAGCGTCCGGGCCCCCGTGGCCATCAAACAGCGCCCAGTAGTGACCAGTCAGAAACTGCCGTGAGGAAGAGGGACAAGACAGGGCTGAAGAGGTTGTACAGATGGCAGGCTCAGAGCCACTGTATCTGTTTTGCCTGACTTCTGCACCCCAGCTTCCCTTCCCTGCCCCTGGTAAATATCAAACCCAGGTGCTGCTCTGCCCAACCCATAATCTGTGCTCTGAGCATCTGGATTTGCACCACACGCCCTCGTGTGCTGTATGAGGGGAGATGGGGCCATTTCAGAAGTGCAGCAGAGCCTGGTGACAGCATCCTCTGTGCCCAGCTCAGGCTACTGCCCAAGTGACAGCAAGACACACTGGCCCTTGAAAGCACAGGGAGGACAGGAAAGGTGAGGGCACCAAGGGCTTGGATGACCTTAAATGCTGAAAGTCATGGGTCGTGGAAGTAGAAATGGCATTTACAGACAGAGCTATGTATTCGCTGACCACAGGGCACACGGGTCCTCTAAATATATCCAAGAAAGGGTTTCAGCATGTGGGCATGTAGGACTGATGGAGCAATCCCATGTTTCCTGAACCTGCGCCCTTGGGTGGCAGCAAAAGGCTGGCAGCAGGGTGAGCACAGCCTGCCTGGGAGCAATACCTGTGTGGAGCACAGGATCAGCCATTCCTCATCCTCCTCCAGGCCTGGCTCTCTCCTCCGGACAGAGATCTGACAGCAGGCTGCCTGGTCCTCATTGAACTCCGACTTGTCAGCATTGATAACCCTGCAAACACTCCAGTAAGGCGTGGGGACACACTGCACCTCTCCTGCTCCCAGCCCGCTGTGCTCTGCAGCCCCTGCAAACAGCGGCACCTTGCCCCTCCTTTCCAGCCCCATGCTCCCTGCTCCCTTTCCAAACTCAAGGATCTCTTTGCTGATGACTGCAATAGTAAGTAATTTATGTGCAGCAGGGAAAAGCCCAGCTGGGGACACAGGGACCTGCACCCTGGCCTCAGGCAGCCCTCGTCAGCAGCCCACACGGTGCCATTTCCTTGTTGACACAGTGCATTGCAGAACCACCACCCTTGCTTTTCCTTCCAGCCTTGGTAATGTTTGTCCCTGGATGGGAGTGGGCCCTCCTTGCATTTCACGCTGTGCCATCCCAACACCGTGGGGTCATGCCGGCCTGGCCAGGACGTGGGGACAGCTCCTGCCTGGAGTTCTGATCCATCCCCTCTGCCATTTAAAGCAGCAAACCAAGAGATTACTGAAATCGCGGTCATCCCCTTCCCTTGTTTTAAAGACACTTTGAAAAGGGCGGTGCTGCTCTGGGGGCTGCCCCGGCCGCTTGTCACTGCGGCTGGCAGGGGGTGGCCGGGGGTGTCCCCGCCGGCCCCAGCAGGGACGGAGAGGGGCCGGAGGACTCACGGCCACGCCGAACCTCCTCTGGGGCACAAAGCCGCTCTCTCCCCGCCTGCAGATGGTGCAGGCGGGCGAGCTGTGCCCCGGGCACCGCGCCAGGAGTCCCCCGAGCCTCCCCCGCACCCTAAACCTGCCCGATTCCCCGCTATGAGCACCGGCAGCGCCCCTCGCCCCGCCCGGAGCCCTCCCGCTCCGGCTCACTCACTCGGCGTATCCCGCGCCCCAGGGCAGCGGCCGCTCGGGCGCGGCGCCCCTCACGGCCCGCCCGCCCCGCGGGGCCTCCTCGCCGCCGCCGGGCACGAACGCTGCTCGGCCCCCGCCATCGGCACCCCCGGGGCCGCGCCCCGCGCATCCCCGGCCCCGCCGCGGCGGACTGCGGGCGGTGTCGCGACAGCGGTGGGGGCGATAGCATGAAGCTTCCCGAAAGAGCCGGCGGGTTTCCTGTGATTAGCGGGGGAGGGGGACACTGAGTCAGGCTCGGAGGTGCCGGGGGAAGCTGCGGGAGGGGGTTCGGCCCCGGGGCGCCGCCGGTGCGGGGCTCTCCCGCATCCTTTGTCTGGGCTGATGCTCAGCGCCCGCCCGCGCTGGGACAGATGTGTCGCGCTCGTGTGCCTGGCCGCAGCCCCGGCCACCGCTCCCTTGCCTGCGGGGATGCTCGGCCCCGGCTGCTGCCCAGCCCAGCGGAGCTGCCGGGAGCCCGAGGGGATTCCTGCTTCCCGGCTTCTCCGCCCGCTCCCCACAGGGCGCAGCCAGCACCCCGACACGACGGCTTCTGCATTTCTGAGTGTGCTTGGTGCATGACTGACTGTGTCCTCACGGTGTTTCCCTCCTGCCCCTCGCCTTGCCAGCTCAATTAGCAATATTAATCAGGAGTAGAGGTGCTGCATAATTTATGTAAGGGAATCAATATGCGAGCAGGGATGTGAGAGCAGCTGCCCCTGGAGCCCTGCTCTGTGCGCTCGGGTGTGGATGCAGCCCGCAGCGTGTCCCGGGAGGGAGCTGGGGCATTGGCCTCGCACTCCCTCTGGCCACCACCTTTGTGCCAGGGTGGGAATTTGTGTCTGCTGGTCCTTCATGGCAAGAGCACCCTTGTTTCTTCAGCATGGTCGAGAACATCCTTCCCCTCCAGTCGCTTCTGGAGGGGCTGTAGCTGAGAAGTGGCCAGAGATGATGCTTAGATGTTTCTCCTGCTTGTGCTCAGGAGAGCTGGTGGTTGTTGATGCTGTTTGGGTTCAGGTTCATTGCTTCTGACTTAAGCTCGTACACGCTCTAATTAAATCTTCCTTGTTTTGTAAAGATGTAACAATAATTTACAAAGTTAAAAATGAGCAGGATGGAGCCCTGCACCCACCTGAGCTCTGGGTGTGCTCTGCAGAGCTGTCCACGGGGTTTGGGCAGCAGGGCCCCTTGCACTGTGTGCCCCCAGAGTCTGCTGCCTGTTGCTCTCTGGCCATGCCCAGCTGCTCCTGTGCTGCTGGTGCTGTCCTTCCTGGTACCCTGCAGCTGCCAGGGAGGGAGATGTGCCAGCTTGGCTCTCTCTGAGAGCCCTGACCTTCTCTGACCTTGGCTGCCCACTGCTTGGCAAGCTGTGCCCAGTGCTGGAGTCACCCTGGGGCACCGCTGCCACAGGACGTCAGTGGAAAGGGGAAGGGACTCCACTTCCCCAAGGAGCTGCAGCAGTGCAGGGACCTGGTGGACCTGTGGCTGCTCTGGAAGCAGATTCCCGGGCTGGGGGTGGTGTAAAATCCTCCCTGTGGTTATGGAAAACAGCTTGTGTTGGGTGGTGTCTCTGTCGCAGCATTTTTGGCACCTCTGGGTTCTCTCTCCGTGCCCTGTTGCGCTGTCTCTCTTCCGGGAAGCTGCTGTTTCCTCTCTGAACGCAAATCTGCCCCTCCTACACCTGTGATGCACAACTGGGGCACCCCAGGCTTTAAGGGAAACCCCCCCGAGGTGGGTTTGGGATGTTTCAGTCTGCCCCACCCCATCACAGCCATTGAATCATTCTGTTTGCTCAGCAAAGAGCAGATTCCATATCGAATGAGGAACAGCAATCCCACTGCTACTTTCATCCCCTCTGCTGAGCCACTGAGGTCTCTTGTTTGCTAGGAGGAGGAATTATTCACTTCTTCCTGGTTCCTGGGGCCTTGTTATCTTTGTGTGCACCCAGCGTTTTCAGTTTCTTCATTCCATTTCTCCTGTATTTTCAGGAAGACATCTGCTCCCAGGGGAATTATGATCAGATTCCACAGCTGGCTGAGGGGAGGTTGCAGACAAGCTGGCAGGGGATTTTGCTTGACACGGTGCTGGAGCTGTGTGAGGCAGGGTGACGTGGTGGTGGTGAACCCCTGGAGCAGCCCCATGGGAGATCCCCCCCTGCCATCCCAGCTTTTGGGAGCAAACAGGTGGAGGGGAAGCTCTGGCGCTGAGAGCTGGGGGTCAGGGAGTGCAATCAGGCCTGAGCCTTCCATGCAGGGGCAAGAGGCTAATTATTATTTTTTTTAGGTATCTCAGGAAGCCCTCTTGAAGGTGCTGGCAAGAAAACCAGGCTGCCATGGAGACTGCCAGGCTGGGGAGGCGGGTGGAAGCTCTCAAAGGGTGCTGTGGGCTTCCTGGGGCTGGAAACCTGCTTTTTAGCTACAGCTGGGAGGGTTCATTGAGTGTTTTTGCAGTCCCTATTTTGCTCTGAGTGGCATTAGATTGGAACAGCATTTGCTGCCTGAGCTTAGAACCTTGGGAATGCAATGCTGAACCGGGGCTTTGATGCTGGTGGGAGGTCAACTGCTTTCAGTTGCTTCTGGGATCTCTTTCAAGACCACTGAGTAGAGAGAAAAAGTCTCTTAGAGGGTATTTTTTTCATCTAGAAGTAGAGAAATCAAATGCATTTTATTTCTTCAACCCAAAAATAGAGTTCTTTCTGTTCTTTCTGGGGGAGGTGGTAAGATCTGGAGATAGGGGAGGACCTTTGCTCCCATCCACAGCTGAGCTGCCACTTTGCCCCAGGATGTTGCTTTGGGAATGCATCTGCTAGGAGTGGATGTTTGCTTCAGGAGAAGCATAACCATGGTGCACATGGGCAGGAATGTTGTCAGATGGGTAAAAAAAGAGCATAAGGTGGGACCCAGGAGCTGCTGGCTCTGCAAAAGTCTTTGTGGAAAGCAGGCAGCTTCCTGTCTCTAGTGGGATGAAAGAAGGGCCTTCTCTGCCCATCCAGCACGTCTTAGCCCTCTCCTCTGGCTGTGCTGGGAGGCAGCACTGGCTCCTGGGGCACCTGGGTGCACAAATCTGGGGGCAGCTTTGGAATGCTGGAGGCACCCCCTAGCGAAGGAGGAGGAGAAGGGATGGCTGGTTCATGGCCCCTTTTATCCGTGGGGAACAGAGGGCACTGGGATGCTGCAAGGATGTTTTTGAGGAGCCAGACCCAGTCTCTTTTCTGGGGCCACCTTGGGGGTTGATGCCAAGGTGGGTGCACTGGGGGTATGGCCCATGTCCAAGTGGAGGGCACGTCAGGGTGGCCAGAGCGGCAGCGCCGGTGCAAGACCAGATAAATGAGATGTCAAAGTCCTTGAAGTGAAACAGTGGTGGGATAGAGGAAATCCTTTGGAAATATATCCTTGGAAAATAGAGGAAATCCTTTGGAAAGTGTGCAGTGAGAGACTAAATGCAGTGAGATCGTGGCCAGGGTCTGTCCCTGGGTGCCTGCCCCTCCAATGCACCATCCAGTGCTCCTCTGGTGGCTTTACTGGGCAGAGAGAAGGAGCAGCAGCCAGCAGCTTCTGCAGGCAAGGAAGGGCCATGTGTGCTGCTCCACCACTCTGCCCCAGCTGATGCTGCTGCAGGGTGAGTGCTGCCTGCCCTGGAGCAAGGGAAGGGACAAGTAACTCCAGTCCAAGGTGGTAAAGTGCAGACAAGACAGGTCCTGGGCACACGTGGAAAATCAGGTGTTGAGAAGCAAATGTCTGGTGTCAGGCAGGTGGCTGCAAGTCTCTGGGCAGGATTTGCACTAAGGACCAGGAGCTGTCTGTGTGAAATCCTGCAGGAATACAGTCTAGCCCCACAGAAAACTGGGAGAAAAGCTTTGCTTGTCTCCTCTCTTGCTCCCTTTCCCCCTTGCCTCACTCCCTTCTTTCTATTTTCTTCTGACATCTGTAGCTTTTTTCCTCAGAAGAGATTCCCTGCAAGGACATATTTATTTTTTCCATGGTGAGAAATAAAATCCTCTTACTTCTTAAACTGGCCAACCGTGACCACTGGCAGAAAAGCTCTCTGCAGCAGCGAGTTGAGCAGGCACTGCGTAAAGGAGTTACACTGGGATAGACTGAAAAGAAGGAATTTTAGCAACAGCAAAAGCTATTTTGTGCCTGTTGCAGTTGTATCCTCTCCTAAATGTCTAGACCAGGAGCTGGGCAGGGCTGTCTGGGCAGGGAAAGTGTGGGTAATGCAGGTATAACCATGTATTATTCATCACCATCTTGACTTCTGTCTGGCCAGGCATCCCTGGAACTTGGACACGTTTTGCCTGGGTTTGTGGCTGGATTTTTGGCTGAGTTTCCCTGTTGCATCCCAGGCACGCTGTGCCCCGGACGGTGAAAGGGAAGCAGCTGCTTGCAGTCTCATCGAGTTGAAGATGATGTCCAGGGAATGAAAGATTGATGGCCCGAGGCTCGGGTTTCGTCGGGAGGGCAAGGTGACTTGATGTGCTGGGAGAGGCAT